TTACTCCACCAGTGCGTTGCACGGGAGTGAAGTATATGTGTGTGTAAATCTTCAAATAAAATGTCTTTGTAATAGCAATTTAAGAAATAAATGGTAGGAATCAAATGGAAAACATCACAAAATGAAAAAGATGCGTAGTAAGTCCATGAAACGATCAAGGCAAAACAACAAAATATTATATATTTCTTTATATTACTTTCGAAACCGTCGTCACATACAACTGTTCATACGTAAAAAAGGGTTAGGGTCACGGAGGAAGATGATAACATTTTCCAACGATTGATCCTCACTTTTTATAGCTAACCATTAATGAATTATTGCATATTCATTTAATTGTTTGCTAATAGAAGTCTATATCGATGCATTCAATAGATAACTATTTTCCTTTCGCCCATCTTTTCATTTGAATCCTCTAGTTCTTTGTTTAGATGAACCTCAACTTCTCTTATTAAAAAAATTGAACACCTATTATTCGAAGAAATGTGGCTCTTCCATTTATATAGGCAACACACAGGATGAGAATGAACTATTTAGATATATGATAAATTTGTTATAGGATAAATTATAGTCTTTATGTAATGTTAAACTTCCATTCTGGTATTTTAATTTAATTTTTGATTTTGATGAATATGATTGATAAGAAAACTGCACATATTCCTCACATAATTTTTTTTAAAAAAATTAACTTTGATTATAAGAAATATTTTGTCATTACCATTCGAACCAACAACAAAAAAGTAGAGCCCAAAGTCAATACCAAAATAAAAAAAGTATACAAAACGCAAAAAGAACAAATATCCCATAAATTTATATTTTACAACAAAAATTGTCACTCTTCATTAATAAAGTAATTAATTTATAATTTTGTACATTTATCTCTCTTATGCACAAAGCTCAAACATATGATTTTTATTTTTCTTTATCTCTGAACTAATTCAAAATTAGCAAAGTTCAAAAGAACATAGATAATACCAAAAAACACGTACTTGTCAATGTTGCACCACAAATAATCACAAAATCTTTGCAATTTTTGTGAAACTTGAAAAGATAAAAAATTAAAAATGATACTAAGTATCTGTACTCAGCCTTATACCCACTCTTATACTCATCATGTCTGTGAAAGGCTTTTTTTATCTGTGAACGGGACTCATAGACAAAAAAGACTTCATCGATGTGATTATAAGGGTGGATACAAATAGCAGAATTGAAAGATCAATATTTAAGACCATTGCCATTGATCCAATTTTAGTTTTACTTTATCGGGATTTCCTGGAATTGTATAATCCTTTGAAGTACCTTTTTTTTAAAGTTGCAGTACCTTTTATTTAGCACTTTTACTCATTTTTTTAATAAGATTAAAATTGTTTTTTTATTCTTTTATAATTACCAATCGTAGTTCCTTTTTATTGACAATTCTATGGATACAATAAAAAACAATTCTACCATTATCATTTTTGTTAAGATTGTATGATCTATATATTCATAGGAATTGGGAAAAGATATTGGTTAGTATCTCATAGGAAAAACCAAATGAAAAATCTACTATAATATTCACATATATAGTATAGGTAGATAATGTACTCCATGATGAAATTCGATAAACTAAGGATTAGTGGCATTGGTATTGGTTGAATCCATTAAGTGTGAAAATTCTCACTGAAATGGTTGAATTGGCTGAGTTATGAAAAACTATATTAAAAATATATTTTGCGGATAAAACATAGTAAACATTATATGAAGAATAGAGGTGAGACTGTCCTTTTCAATAAACATTGATTCTATAGAAATCTCTTTTCCAAATATTCTATAACAGGTCACAAAGAACAAATTACAAAATAAATTTAATAAACTAAACAAATTGGGTAAGAATGAAACATAAACATGTTTATTAGTGATAGACTTGCATGTTTCATTATTTCTTACAAAGTATGATATTAGAAACATTAACACATATGAATTCTTTCAAAGCATCCTCTCACACCTAAATGATTTAAGTGTTTTGACCTTAAAAGGAATGAAAAGGACAACCTTGAGTCCTTGATCTTTATTTTCAGGATTTGAATAAAAAAACACAAATTCTTTGATAAATCTTACCAACATATATTTAAGTGTAAAATTCTGGCCTAGTTTAGATTGCTTTGTTTTTCTGCTACCCTTCCAATGCCTATTCTTTATTATTAAAAAAGCATTCACACAAAAATATTCAGTTTAAAATAAAAGGAGTTTCATTCTGAAATGGCAACACTAAAAATAGTTAAATTCAAAACAACATTGACAAAAATTCAGAGGACCAAGGATGTTTGTTAAAACATAATATTTGGTTCAATTTAATCCCACCAACATTAAAAAAAAAAATCATCTCTTTAAAGACTGTGAACTCAGAATGTTATTGAGAAAAGGTAGAGCAATGAATGAATGAGTGAATGAATAAATAAATAGAACACTTCCCTCTCCTTTGCTAATGTATAATAAAAGTAGCTTAATACTCACACTTGGAAGGCTACCAAATATAGTATAATCTTGATCATTTATTAAGAATATAGTTACCGTGTTACTTTGATTCACCTCTATCAGTTTTCCCTCCAAATCCAACCACACAAAGATCAAGATCTTAGACAACATGTAGACGCATGTTTAATTTCGTAATAAACCAATCATATACACATTTGCCTGACACTGTTACATCATACAAATCTGAATAGCTTTACACCATTTTGGTAAATATTCAATTGTGTGCCATAACAAAGGCTATGAGAGAATTAAATTGTAAAGCTATATATTACATCATACAAAGGCACACCATTTTTGCAGAATAGCTTTACAGAAAAATTGTTAGGAGTTGTGTATATGATTCAAAAGTTAAAATATTTCAGCAAATAGAAATCCGTAGTTGCATAATCTGCAAAAGATTCCTTACAGAGTATCCAAGTATGTCTAGTTTTAGCAACGATATGATACGCATGCCAGAATATATATCAAGTACAAATGTACATTTACTCAAGGCCAATGCGGGCATCGGGGGCGTTCTTCTGTAGCTGCTGACGGAGGTCAGTAGCGGCCTGCTCTAATTCGAGGATGGTACCGCCTTCGGGTACTAAGTGTCTGTTGGAGGCTTCAGCCCCATTGGTTTCGCCGGGGACTACGTGGTTCTCCTCGAGGGTTTTGGATTGGGCACGAGTTTTTCCCATTTTCGGTAGGTGTTATGTGTTTGGTGGAGGGGGAGGGTTTCTTACTTGATTGTTCAGACCTCTCAACGAGAGCACCAAATGATGGATAGTCTACCCGGGGGGTATCTTATCCGAGGGGTTATTGCGGGAATAACTTAGAGAGAAGTCAGAGTAAATAGGAGGAGAGAGAGTCGATTGTATTAAATGAACTCGAGATGTGAGATCTGGAATCGTTTACAAGGAGAAATGGGTTGCTATTTATAGCAGCAATAAATGCGATGAGAGTACACGTGTCAGTAATCCAACGGCCGAAGGGTCACATCAGTCGGGTGGCACCGGCAGTGGCATGTTCACCGCATTGAATGCGGTTGGTGGATGTGACGTTGCATTAAATGCGGTGGTTGGCTGTCTTCAAAGGGAATCTTCGATGATTGAGCCTGTTTGGCCGAAGGCTCCTCGCATAGCCGAAGGTTTCATGTGGCCGAAGGCTCTGTGCGGCCGAAGGCTTGGTTCAGCCGAAGGCTTCTCTGATGCCGAGGGCTCAACAGTGCCGAAGGCTCCTGTTTTCCGCGGTTTTCTCCCAGTAACTTTGTATGCCAAAAAAGTTCATGCTGTGACTTCTGGAGCCTTCGGCCAAGGTGGCCGAAGGCACCCCCGTGTGTATCTCGGGCTTCCTTGAACTTGGGCCACCGTATTTGGGCTTCAGATGCTCCTTGGGCTTAATGAGCCTGATGGGAGAAGTAGGAGTCTATGGGCCGGGGGTTCCTGGGCCATATGCTCTTCAGTATCTTTGAAATGTATTACCAGAATACAATCAATTAACCAGAATACAATCATATTTTTGCACAAATCTTTCCCCGTAAAAGTAAAAATATTACGAAGTATATATGTTCTTTTTGTTTGCAAATTACGAAGTATATATGTTAGGAAGAAAGTGTACAAATTTTGATAGTATCTCCAGAATACAATTAATTAACCATTAAATGGAAATTAAAGATCAAAGAATGATTATGGGATAAATGATGAGAGCCTAGTCAGCCGGACAGTCATGAGAGAAACGTGTATTGTATATCATGGTATACGCTATAATAACCACCATGACGAGTCATATGTCCATAAAACGTGATTTTACAAGTAACATTTTGTAATCAAGTGATTCAAACTCATTGACTCTCGTACAAATGCATACAAACTTTGGAGCAATAACATCAATTAACCCATAAGGGTAATCATATTTCCCCATAACGGTAATTACTAAACAAGAACCGAAATCCAATCGTTAAGACTTAAGAATGAATATAAAACAAACCATTAAGAATTAATAATTCACCTGTACCAAACTGCATGTTAACAATCAATTTGGGATCAGGAGAATGAAATTATTTGAGTAAGAAAATTCAATTTTGCAAATCATTTTGGGGCGGGTAGTACGAAACAACAATCATGATGTTCAATATTAAACTCTCTTTTTTTTCCGAAAAAAATACTCCGTACTCCGTATTAAACTCTTAATACATCAAGAAGATAAGCATGATGCTCAAGTACATTGATGTTTAATTAATACAAAGTAGAAATCACGATTTTCATGTGAGATTACAAGAATATCACTACTTATAATACCGTTAAACCGGTAGTATAATAGAGTACTATACAAACTTGAAACTCTTATTACCTTTAAGGTGACAACTTCGGTACCTTTCTAAAAAATGGGGTACCTTACCTACCAACTTCGGTATCATTTTTAATTTAGATTGTACATTCTCATTGGTTCATGTGGACAAAGGTATGGTACATAAACAAGAGAAAAAGGAAATAGACTGAACTGGACTGGAGCTTATAAAGCCATTATTATATACATAAAGCAACAAACTCCTCTGCTTTAATAAAAATGGGGTGGATATCCGGCTTAGAAACGGCGGCGGCTGGTATGGGCAACATGGCAGCCGACCCATTCGAATCCTTACTGCAGGAAGGTGGACAGGGCTGCAGCTGGTACATGCCCTCCTTCGCCGCCGGCGACCCCAACACTCTGTTCTTCAACCCCCCACTCGAGTCCTCTTCTCCCCCCAATTCTCACCTCTTCTTCGCTTTGGGAACTCAAAACCCGTTTCTGGATAACCATTTTCTCACCACAGGAACCGGGATTTCGAGCGGCGGATTTGCCGATTTCAACCCCCACAGCGGATCATCATTGGGATTCAACCACAGGTCGTCTAAGTTGTTGAAGCCGCTGGACAATTCTGGGACGTCCATGGGAGCTCAGCCGACTCTGTTCCAGAAAAGGGCTGCTGCTGCTGCTGCTCCTCTGAGGAGGAGGAGGAATAACATCTGCACCGGAGGCTCGGCTGATGATAAGAAGCCGGCGCCGGAAACGAATGGGGATGAAGCGATGGAGTATTGGAATGCTTCAGATGATGAGTTGGTGCACAAGGAGATTGAGGCTGATGAGAATAACCATAATGGCGGCGGAGGAATGAGTACAGCGGTGACGGGCGGAGGCAAGAAGAATAAAAAGAAGGGGCTTCCGGCCAAGAATTTGATGGCGGAAAGGCGACGCCGCAAGAAACTCAATGACAGGCTTTACATGTTGAGGTCTGTCGTCCCTAAGATTAGCAAGGTACCCACTTTCATTTCAAAGGAAAATCTCTCTCATCTACGCATTTTTACAACCCCTATTTAGTTTTGGTACATTGTTCACGGACCAATCAAAATGATGCAGTTTGAATTATTTAAATTTAAATTAAAAATGATACGATGAGTTGGATCCATCTCTGCTTCTGCTCCTTTATAGAGCATATCGGAGTGTTTGACCTAAAGTTAAGTAGCACTTCTGATTGTTCCGAATTGTTTTTAGAAGCAGATCTTTAAAAACTTCTGAAAAATTGATTTTGATTTTGTTTCAATTATACGTACAAAGTCAATTTGTCTAATAAAATGCACAAATTATGTCAATTGACTACATATACTCATACACAGGACCATGTACTACGACTTAATTCTTTGTTTATTCTATGATTCTATCTATTAAGTAGTTAACAATACACTCCGTATGTGTTAACCTGCTAGCTAGCTTGCTTAGATCCTAAAAACCTTTCAAAAAACAATAGACCAACGATATAGCTAGCATGCCGCCTCTTCTCACGAAAAGGCATGACTCGTGACAGGGATCGTGACTTCCGCAGGGCATGCTCGAGAATCGACAGTGCGAATAGGTACGGGTGAACAAAATAACTAAAAAACGAAACCGACCGATCAAAACCGACCAAAATTGAAACCGATAAAATTGAAACTGTGCGGAAGTGACTAATTCATCGGTTATTCAGTTTACGGTTCATACTTTTGGCTTCAAAAATCAGTCAAACGAAAATAGACCAACAATACTTGGCAAAAATGGCTAAAAATAATCGGAAACGATACGAATTGACTGAAATTGTCTCAAAAAGTCGCTAAAACCAACCGACTAAAAACTGAAATCGACCATAACAGACTGAATAAAAACCGAAACCGACTAACACTGAACTGATAAAACCGAAACCGACGACACTGAACCATCGAGCACACCTACATATGGGTACGATTTTGGTCATAGCTGCTTTGCTTTTGTTTGGGTTTCTGATTGGTCTAGTCCAACCGAGTCTCTAGCTCTGACCGAGGTTACGTTGTTTTGTGTTTCATTGTAAACATATTTTGTGTACTAGGCAACACTTGTGCTGTCAGATTTTTGTGTGGTTATCAATCAATTATCTTTCAATGGAGAGCAGTGGACTATGGAAGAGGAAAGCAGTGGGATAGTGTTTGAATCTGGAGCTATGAGTGTTAGTAGTCGGGTTGGAGACAACCCACATTTTTTTTACTGTTAATAGATTTGTCACAGACAACAACCCTGTCTGACCTATCTCTTTCTGTGAGACAACGACAATGATATGGTGCCTGAGTGAAGGGTGAGTATTGAAGAGATTGGAGAAATGCGGTTCATGATTCAATTCTATCATGAGAATGATATCTCTCGGGTATGTCAGGATGGACCGTGGTCCATTGAACATAATTTAGTAGTTATCAGGAGGTAGAGCTCGACCATGCAGAATTCTGGGTTTAGATCCATAACTTACTCGTAAGCTTTATGACGAAGACAGTGACAACATGTATTGGTCGTTACCTAGATAAGTTGATCCAAATTGATGAAAGAACTCTAAAAGGAAACGGTAAGTGTGGATCGTTGCGCTCACTGCTACATTAAAAGCAATCGTTGATAGTGTAACAGACCTTTCCTCTTTTATAGAGCATGCAAAACGCCACGTTTCGATTGCACCGGAAGACTGGCAGACTGCTGACACTGCATACTCGCGACCTAACTATATCCTCCCAGTATCTGCCAACCTACAACTGAGCAGCATGTTGTTACCGGGGGTCGAACTCGTGACCTAATTGTGGATCGCTGCGCTTACCGCTACATTAAAAGCAATTGCTGATAGTGTATCACGCCTTTCCCCATTTATAGAAGAAGCAAAGCACCACGTTTCAATTGCATCGACATGTTGGCAAACTGTTGGCGCCGCATACCTGCTGCCCAACAATCTCCCCCATCCCTGCCAACCTACAATTGAGAAGCATGCTATTATCGGGAAGCATGCTACAAGGGAGTAGCCTATATTCTTCCCCATCCCTCCGTATTTAAAAGTTCCCTGCACTTTTCTTTTTGGGATGTATTTAAAAGTTCTCTACACTTCCACTTTTGGTAAGTTTATCCTTTACAAAATACTCAATTACCCTTACTTTATCTACTTTTTATCTTCTCTTTCATACTTTTACACACTCTCTCCTACTTTTTCTACACTATTCACTACACTTACTATTGTATCCTAAAATATTGTGCCAAAAGCAAATGTAGGGATCATATAAATACGGAGGGAGTACATATTAATACTCCCTCCGTCCCAAAATGGTTAGCCAATGTTGACTTACACGTGGATTAATAAAGTAAAAACTGTGTGGTTGAAATTTGGGTAGAGGAGAGAGAATTAACTTTAGCCACATATTACTTATTTTAAATGGAAATGACCAACCTTTTTGGGACGGCCAAAAAAGGAAATTTGGCCAACCATTTTGGGACGGAGGGAGTAATATTTTATACTACCACATATGTGCAGATTTAAGGTTCCCATTGTTTATGATATAGATATTTAGATTGATCGATGGTAATGATGATGTTATAATATGTGTATTGTTTTTAATTTTTGATGATTAAGTTGACGTTCAAATTATGTTCCGAAAAATAAAAATGAGAATATTTACCTAGGAAGGGGGTACAATATTGTGTGTGTTTATAATTGGTTTGAAACCGGATGGAACTGTCTGATAGGTTCAAACCAGAATGATATACGAAATATCTGGTTTCGAGTAGGGGATGCTTAGGACTGGAAATCAGCCGGTCTCGAACCTGCTTGTATCCAATCATGTCTTATAATGACTTTAATTAGGAGCTTGTAGCATATAGAACCTCGGTAGCATATTGGATACAATCGTATCTTGTTTTAGTTTGACACGACTATTAATAAAGCGGTTAAAAAGTAAAAATTCTAGTTGAAATTTGAGTAGAATAAAGTGAAATGATAAGGATCACATATTTCTTGCCAAAAAAACCTGACATTCACTTTGGGACGACCCGAAAAGAAAATTAAGACAACCACAATGAGACAGATGAAGTAACATTTATGAATATATTGGGCTATAATAATTTCAGATTGGAACAAGGTCCGATACATTTAGGCCAACCCCAGAGCTTATATGCTTTAGATTGGGTTGGTTTGGGCTGGGTTGGTTAGTACCCAAATATAAAAGGCCATTTGAAACTTTTGGAGTTTTCTCAAATCATTTGATATACTCTGTCATATTAAAGCAGTGTTTGTCATTGCTTAAAAAAGCACTTTATCTGATTTTGGCTTTTAAAAGGCTAAAATGGTGTTTGCAAATGAAAACTTTTGCTTAATTTAAGTACTTTTAAGTCAAAAGCTGGAAGTAGCCATTGGGATGCTTTTTTCTGCTTCTAGGTGTTTTAGTAAACAGTTGGAACTTTGGGGATAATGATTAGATCAAAATTTTCAATTAAACCAAAAGTGCCCCTTCTATCTTCTCGCAGTCGACACCGTAATAGGCATCTGTTTCTTCCTTCTTTCTTCTCTACACCGTAACATATATGTGGAATATATTAGGGCTAGGCATATCGGGTTTTGGTTCGGCTTTTATCGGTTTTGGTTCGGTTCGGTTTGGTTCGGTTAACTTTTAGTAATATATGAAGGTTTTTTTGATTTTTTTTAGTTCGGTTCGGTTTTGTTCGGGTTTTATCGGTTTCGGTTGGGTTCGATTTAATACGGGTTGGAAGAAATAGTACCAAATCAAACCAAATTGCATATGGTCCGGTTTCGTTTCGGATTAGTTCGGTTTGGTACGGTTCGGTTCGGTTAAACCAAACCGTTATGCCCAACCCTAGAATATATATTTGGAGCCAAGGTGGCTTCCCTCACTGTACTTGCAGCAAATTTGGGAAGAGAAAGAGTGCGCAAGGGTTGGCTACGGGTTGCGCACAGTTGGCTTCATCGAGTCCACAAGTCCCAGTTCTGATGTTAGTTGCTGGTGTAATGGGATGAAATCGACATGAGAATGGGAAAACCGGCGTCCGGCGGCGTGAAGGATGGTGGAATAATCCGGCGACCTGCGTGTTTGTGGCCAGTGGGTTCACCAGTGAGAGAGAAAGAGAAGGGACACAAACTTCATTCTTCCATTTTTTTGAGTTATCTATTAAATTTGGGCATGGGTATTTTGTATTTTAACTACATATTACATCAATAATCACTTTTCTATCAAACACTCCAATTTTTACATTTGTATTAAAATTACTTCTACTTCCAAACACTACCTACTTTTACTATAAATCACTTTTCCAATAACCTCTTTAAAAATCACTTTTAAAAAACACAAGCAATCGAAAACACTCCCTAATATATGGCTCTCTTGCTGTCTCACTTAACTTGTCAATTTATTAATATTAATGTGATGACGGTGATATTTCTGTTCTCTGATTTTAAGTAACATTTTTCTGATATTCGATTTCAACTTTCCGCTTCAATAGACATTTTAGAATAATTTCTAAATACCTAGACATTTTCAGGAATGAATTAACTTTTTATTACGGAGTACTATTCAACCATCGTAAATCCTAATTGACAATGTTGGGCAAGACGGTGGCCGGGAGAATTAATTTTTTGTATTAGTGAGGAGTTGGTGTTTCTTGTGTGGGACGGATTTTAAGTTTTGAGTGTAAATTACTTTGATAAACGTGTTTGATCTGGATAACTTGCTACATCTAACAATCATTTTTCCGAGTTCATGATTTATTTTCGGGTGCGATTATCCATCCTCTACACAATTCTCAACTACACAATTTTTATAATTCTTATTTCACACACGTAAAATATCTAATACAAACTTGACAATATTCGATGGGACAAAGGCAAAAGTTATAAAATATCATTGACTGATTTGTTTAGAGAGAATTCCTTGTTTAGGAGTAAAACATAATGAATATGCAAAAGTAGGACTCATATCTCAAATGTAGTTTGTCATACGGAAATTAATAGTAAGAGACAAAAATATAAAATAGAATAACAAACTAATTAATGTACGGAGGAGTTTACACAACAAGTCAACAACATATTTTTCCTTCCTCAATCACAAGTTGCCGTCGGCACTACCCAGGACAATAATAGTTGCTCCTAACTGCCGCCGGACTCAGCCAATCTCTGTCGTCGCTGGACACCATCAGTCTCCACCGTCGCCGGTCTCCACTGTCTCCGAACGCCGCCGGTCTCCACTGTCGCCGGACGCCGCCGGTCTCCACTGCCGTCGGACGCCGCTAGTCTCCACAGTCGCCGAACGCCGACGCCACCACCATCTCCGCCACTGCCTCTTTCCAGGGTCATCACCGGCCATCTCTATTTCCGCCGCCGCCATCTCCATCTCATAGCCTCTTTTGACTCCATCATCTCAGATCTAGAAATTAAGAATGCTTCAGAAGAAGTTTCATTGTCATTTTGGCAATTAATGACATTATGAATATTTATCAGCAAGTGCCATATATTGCCATCCTCATGGAGATAGTGCCATACAAATGGCACTATATGCGAAAATATTTTTTTATATTTAAAAAATATGGCAATGTCAATTATGGCAATTTTGATTTACAAAGGAGTAATATTTTGATCTTAATACCATAAAAACACTTTAAAATGGCAATTATGGCAATTTCAGATTCAAACCAGAAAATAATTTCTACAAAAATATTGATTGAAATTAAATGTAAAAAATAATATTCTATAATGTAAAATAAATTAAAAGTCAATCTTTCACAAAAGAAATTAAAAGAAGAAAACGATTTTACTCAACCGAACTAACTCAAAAAAGAAATTAAAAGTCAATCGTTCAATTGAAAGAGAAAACGAAAACTCAATAAATAAAAACGTAAATATAGATCGTCTAGGAAAGAAGAAAATTAAAGCAAAACAAAAAAAATGGTCCTAATCAAACAACAAGCCACCAATTTCTGTATGAAAACAAAAGGCTCCTTAAAGCTCCACTGCCGATTGAATTAACATAAGAGAAAAGAAGAAGGGGATTTCAGAAGAAAAGGAGGAGAGGAAGAAGAAGAAGAACGAAGAGCAAGAGATTAAAACTTACCTGTGAGGATCACCGTCGTCGCCGTCGTCTGCCAGTTGCCGAAGTTGGAGGAAAAGACCCACTCTTGGAGTCTTTGCAATTTGCCGCATCGGATATGGAGAAGTGAGAGAAATCAGATCTGAAAATGAATGAGGTAGAGGAAGAGGGAGATAAAGTGAAAGAAGTGGGGTTGCGTACTAACGTGAGAGGAATCTGGCAAAGAAAAAGTAAAGGGGGGTAAAATTGGTATAAGATACAGACCAAATAACGGATAGCTCCTATTTAGGGAATTAATCAACATCAACTCTTATTTTGGAATTTTATCTATGTTTTACTCCCTTTTAGGGTAATTACTTATTTGTTTACGCATGCATGCATTCAGATGGACAGAGCTTCAATCTTAGGAGATGCAATAGAGTACTTGAAGGAGCTTCTACAGAAAATAAATGACCTCCAAAATGAACTAGATTCCGTGCCATCATCGTCCAGCTCCGCAGTGGCCACAAGCTTTTACCCAGTCACACCTACTGCCACCGCCACATCTTCCCTAACATCGTGTCACATCAAACAAGAGATCTCTCAAACCCCGCTCTCTAGTCCAACTGCACAACCCACAAGAGTATTGTTTCCTTTTCCTTTTTGTTTTAAGAAATTGTTCTAGATAGGATTAGAAATTTTGAAAATTTCAAAATATGCGTGTTATATCTCTATTCCCTAAATAGCAATAATTACTGTCAATATGGAAAACATTGCCACATGTGACCATATACTATCATTTTTAAAGTCATACTTGTTAATTTAAGGATGAATTGACATAGGGCTATTTTCCCATTAATTATTCAACCATGCTAGGGGTACACAAGTTGTACACAAAATGTCGGTCACAAACAATTGATACAGAATTGTCTGTGGGCACAAACACAAGTTGTCTGTGTACACAGGCAACTTTTGTCTGTGTACACAGACATTTACTTTTTTGTAAAAAGTACACTGACAATCAGCTTTCAAATTAATCAATATATGTGCGGTGCCTGTGAGCAGACAATATTTTCATGTTACACAGACAATTATTTGTCTGTGTGCACAGACAATATTTACCTCACAGACAATAGTTGTGCGTTCTACAGACAATAGTTGTCTGTAACTTTAATTATCGGTGTGATCAATTTCAATTGTCTGGGTGAACGAAAAATTTAATTATCTATATATATCCAAATGAATGATGTAGTTGTATGTGTGATCAATTTACATTTAGTTTGAAAAAATTAAAAAATAATAAAAATAAATGAAATAAGATGAATAAGTTGATTTTGTGCAAATAATGAAAAAACAATTGATATAAAAAGGTAGAGAAAAAGAGGATGAAGAAGGGAAAATGAAGATGAAGAAGAGAAGATGATCTCTCATTTTTTGTGAGATATTCGAATGGGTTGGGTAAAGATGAAAGAGAGAAGGGGGAGGGGGAAGAGAGAGTGGAGAGAGGGGGAAGAAGGAAATGAATTTTTTTTGGCCTTCTTTTATATGGTGTACATTAGGTGTACGTTAAATCAGGTGTACGTTAAGCATTTTCTTTAATTATTACGTGGGCAGGTAGAAGTGGGGGTGAGAGATGGGAGAAGTGTGAATATCCATATGTTGTGTAGCCGTAAACCAGCGGGTCTCTTACTCTCCACCATGAGGGCTCTGGACCGCCTTGGCCTCGATGTCCAACAGGCCGTTATCAGCTGCTTCAATGGCTTCTCCATGGATATCTTCCGAGCAGAGGTATATATATGCATGTATGTGTATCCATCTAATCCGACCCTGTATGGTTGTATCTACCGAATCATTGACCTTGACCTCCCTTTTTCAATAACATAGCTAGCTTCTTACTCCGTAGAGGCGTAGCTAGGGTTAGGGCTAGACTCACTCACTCACTTAGAGACGTAGCTCGGGAAGGGTCGACCCTGACCATGACCCAACCCAAATTTAAAAAGTGTCTGTATTTTTAGTGTAATTTTTTTTTTTTCAAAAATGTTATTTAATTTGTACCGGCCCAGTGTCCTGGCACCGCCCCTGAATCACCCATATTTTGATTTTCTAACATTACAAGAGTAAAAGGATCATTTATTTATTTTTAAATATTTGTATGAACACAACCTTTTATATCATCAGACTACATCCCTACAACTACATACTAGCTTAGATTCAATTTGGTGATTCTATTTTAAGTTAAAATTTAGTGGACATAATATGCACTTTATGAAGAATGTACTACAAAAATCATCAAAAAGTTTCACCGGGAACCACTCCAAACGGCGACGACCGGGTAGAAGGTCCGGCGGCTTGTCCATCCGACTGGAAAGGATAATTAATATATACAGAGTGCGGATCAAATAAAAACCATTCCTCCCTTGGAAGCGGTAAACTATTCACTTTTCCACACCGTGATGCAATATTAGATTTCTATGTTACACTTTTCGCATTGATATAAAATTTTGACTTATTTACGAGAAATGCCATCACATTTTTAAAAATTAGCATGGTTTGACGGAAGTTCAAAAAGTTCAATAGATCACCCTTAAAGTGCATCACATTGGAGGAAAAGTGAATTGTTTTCAATTTACACGTTAAGAGTAGTTTTTATTTGATCCGAAACCTATATATGTGCACCCCATTAATTATTTCCCATAAACTATTTGTGATTATGCATGAATATAACGAGCTAGGTGAAATGCACGCACGCACCTTGTGTAAGCTGCTTTTGCGATCAAACATAGGGGATTTTGTTTCCCTTGAGTAAGTCGTTGTTTAGTGGAAGTGAAACGTGACATGTGAAAAAACTTGATGACAAGTCATTTATATGTATGCATGTATATGTTTTCATGCATGCAGCAATACATAGAAGGAGATATCAACCCAGAACAAATCAAAGCTATACTTCTGGATTCTGCAGCAGCTTTGCCATCGGGGATGCTTTAAGCAGCTTTCCTAGCTAGTCATAAAAGAACTGTATTAAATTCTCCAATGGTTTTCAATTTTTTATGTGAACGTAGCTGCTAGCTTAGGGCGCAAGCAAATACATACATGATCTTGCGTGTTGATCCATCTCCTGGTTTATCTTTGCTTGCTTTAGCATTATGCAAGCTGGTGTGGAATTGCTTTCAATTTCTAAGTAAGTGACAATTAAGCTACTTAGTGTCATGCCATCCTAACCGGGACAGCCGTCCGGCCGAGCTCGTTTGAGAGCCTTTCCGGTGGAATTTTTTTGAGCATGTTTTTCATCAAGTCTAGTTTACTTATACCAAATTTCAACTAAGAGTTCCTGATTGAATTTTTAGCTGAAATTTGGTATGAGCAAACTAGACTTGATGAAGAACATGCTTAAAAGTTTCATCAAACAATTTCATCGGAAAGGATCCCAAATGGGCTCGGCCGGACGTCGGTTTCCGTCAGGCCGGCCTGACAAGAGGAAAAGTGCAACATAAACATGAAATGGTACGGTGTACCGCAATGAGCAAAAAGCGTGAGCCACCGAAGCTCTGCTGCCAACGGACTGCCCCACCACAACCATACTGACTTTGTTACCCAAGGGAATGAACTAGCTGAGATGGGGCAATTAATTAGTTTAATTTATTAGATTAGGGTAGAAAATTAATGTTTACTCCAAACCTCAACCTTAGCTCGAAGGGCCTGGATTTCATCATCCGGACGGCTCAGCCTTTTCCCCACTTGGGACGCCTCTTGCATCTCCTTATCAGTCAGGTATGCCTTGGCATGTAATCTTTTAGTCATGTCATGTGCCGTTCGAACGAGCAAATCATGCACCCTCATCCCAAGCCCAGAGGGTTTGCTTACGCTTGCTCTCAAAGGCCGTGACCCTTATGAAAGAGGACCCCGCCTGAAATATAGAACGAACGGTTATATAAAGTAGAAATTTTATCAGTCCAAGACCTGAAAGTTAGGTTACTATCAATTTTGCACCTAAAAGATAATTCGAATCAATATGGGACTTGAAAGATCATAAACTATCAATTTTGGACCTCTTTATCTAACGCCGTTAGTTTATTAATTTTTTTGGGAAGAGCCGTTAGTTTATTAATAAATAATACGAAGAATATGATCATTAAATGGCCACGTCTCCCATTTTATTCCAGCTCACGGACACGTCATCTTCCTTCAATTTTTCACCGACAAAAACTTATCGCAGGCAAATCTTCCCTGCTCGTCTACCCCAAAACAAAACCAACCTGAGATTTCTAAACCTTCCAAGCTAAGCTCACTCATCTCACTTCTTCCTGCAAATCAAATCTGCGAGTTTGGATGTACAAACAAGGGGGCATTTCAAGGTGTCAGACAAATGAATTTGTAGGTCTTTCTACCCTTTTATAGTCTAAGCTCACATTCGTGGGATTCCAACAAGGAGAAAAACACATCAAAGCTCCATTTGCTGGTATTTTAGCATTGACGTTATGAAATAATTGATGTCTCTGGGAATATTTGTGATTAAGTGAAAGACATCTGGTTTTTCTTAACTATTTTGTTTGTTTTTATGTGTAAATTGTATGATGCTTTAAGCTGTAGAACTATAGAGATTATCTAATTAAAAAGTACAAAAATTTACAAACCAAAGTAGAAGCTAGGGAGAGTTAGAGTTTATTCATTACAACCTCATACGTATATTTGTGACAATGTAAAAATTGGGTTACCAATTTTAGAAACCTGCAAGCTACATAGTAGGAGAAAAAGTAGAGAGACCCTAATTTCCAGATGTTATATTTCATCATCTAACATATGAAAATAGTTTAAGAACTTTCAAATCAAAGAAAAAACTCACAATGGTCTTCTTAGAGCAATTTAGTGACTTTATCGAGAGGATCATATTATTACATTTTAAATCAATTTTAATTTTCACACTGGTGCGAATTTTTTCTTGAAGAGGTTTCTGTTTTTGCTCTATAATGTTGAAGATGATTGCTAGTACCCGGTGATTACTTCCTCAAACTATATTCATACCATTAAGGCATTGAGTAATGTCTTCTAATAAGCTATAGTTTTTAGTTCATTTATCAAATGTCTGCAGATGGATTTATTAAAGGCTAGCCTCTTAATATGAACATAAGTAAACTTTATCACTGTAGGTTAGCCTTTTAGTTTACATGAACATAAGGGCTAGGAGAATTAAACTGGAGTGCATCAATAATCAACTAAGCTTGAGGCTTTACTGTAAGCAACTGGTAACAATGGTAGAGTAAAAGAATAATGATCATTGAATTCACTTCTTAATTCAAAAGAATAAATGACCTGCCTCTGCATTGTCGAATTATTATTCCAGCTTACTGTTCTTCCCTAATTCACTTGTTTATCATTTAGTTGGACAAAAATAAGTACATACATAATTTCTCACTTCCATTTCGGACTACAACTTTTGAAATTTTCAAAAGCTAATCCGACTTCTAGCTTGAAATGTATTAGCTTTTCTCAACAAAGCTTTAGTAGAATGTTTTTGTTAGAGGTGTAAAATTAGATTTGTCTTTTAAAGCTAGCTCCTTTAACATGATTTTTCATCATATAGTACACATAAATCTGAAACCGGAATAAGTACGAATGCAGATTTGTAATTAAAACATGTCTTCGAAAAAACTGAAACATCACAATTGTAAATCAAAATGTTTGTAATCAAAACAAGGACAAAAATAAAAACTCCTAATTCACAGTTTCACACTGTATCAATAAAAACAAGGGTGTGTTGTATTTTCTCTATATCTCTTCTTCTTGTCTTCACACAACTAGCACGTTTGAAACTAGACATCATCAGGGTACTTCTTGCATGAAAGAAACTGCAAATTATAGGAATATTAACTTATATGTGTATGTTGTGTCAGTTGTGTGTGTATATTCAATAATATTGGATTAGAGAAGTGATTTGAAAATCCGTACTTGCTCATTCTCTTTACAAGATCTCTTATTATGTCCAAGCTGTCCACATTTACCACACTTGATCACCCCATATTTTCTTTTTGCTTTATGAGGATCCCTACCTTCTAACGAAGACTTGTGTCTCTGTTTTTTGGCCTCCCGGGCGGCCTTCTTAGTAGTGGTGCCTGTATTAGCACACTGTCAGCTTTAGGGGGAAAAGCAATACTGCTCATCGGATTAATTTCATACTCATACGCCCTGAAAAAGTACTCCCAGGTGAAATATTGATGCACAAAGTCTTCTCGTCTTCTTTTCATAGAAATTATAGCAGCACACGCAAGAACACAAGGCACACCTGTCAAGTCCCATAGCCTGCAAGTACATGTATGGTGTAGAAGATGAACAACAAACCTTTTAGGTCGAAGTGTAACCTTAAATATAACTTCTCCACATGAAATTGTTAGCCATTTAGTAGATTCCATAATGTAAATATTCAACTTCTTTAATTTAGTGTCTCTGGACATATTAAGCCGGTCCTTTTCTTCATTTGTTTCTTTTTTTTCTCATTAACTTCATTGGCTTATATTGTCGATAAGAATATCCACATGATTGTCTCGATATGTTTTTATCACTCCATTGAAGCACTCAATGATGCTACTTTAGAACAAATGACACTTGACATGGTTTTCAAAATGTGCTCTACTCCATCTCTCCACGCTGACTTCACTGAGATATTCCCATGCACTATAATCTTTATCCTTTATCTTATTCATGTATTTTTCAAAGGTAGACATCATAGTGGATTTTGCAGCAAGCCAAAACAGTGACCTATGTTCGTCTTTCCATTTTTTCTGAAAGTTGGTATACATATGGCGTACACAGAAACGGTGATGTGTAGAAGGGTATATTTCTTCTAGTGCGGCCACAAGACCCTATCAATGAAGCGAACTTGTAAGCAATTCTGTAAAATATGTATGTAAGTAATAATAAACGATATAATTAAGTATTTACCTTTCCTTGGTCAGAAATGAATGTCCATCTCTCTCCGTGTATGGATTTTTGTCCAATATCATTCAACAAGTTGTTTAAAAACCATTGCCATGTTTTTTTAGTCTCAGATGCTACTACTGCATAAGCTATAATGAATAAACCATTGTTTCCATCAAGACTAATTGTAATTGCCAGTTGGAGAGCACACGCTTTTAATGTTGATCAACATTGCCATCAAGTAATTGGAGAGCACACGCTTTTGCTCTATAAGCCTTTGCGATACTATTGTGACGTTATATTTCTTCAATATAAGATCCTTGACTTCCTCACCTGTCATTTTTGCATGTTGTCTAAAGTCTTCAATTAACTTATTGACCAACCATTTAGTACTAGCAAATCTTTCTTTCACTCCTTCCTTTTGACAGTTATGATTAGCTGAGATAAATGTTTTGACCTTGTAAGTTTCTAAATTTCAAACTTTTGAACAATAGATAAGCCATGGGCAACTGCTTACACACCTCACTCGACATCTTATCTTATCTTTCTTCACAAAGTCCAATTTATACATATTTTGGACACCTTAACTTCTCATAGCTTCACAAAAATCATCAATAGATGCAAATGATTGCTCCAACTTAAAGTGGTCCTCCCCTTGGATAGCTTGGATGTGGGCAGAATCTAATTCATCTCCATTACCTGAAGATTCAGATTCATGAATGCTCTTCAATTCTGACAAAGATTGAACTGTGACAGCCTCAGACAAGTCAGACAAGTCACTTGTGTCAATTAACAAATTTTCACCAATTATATCAACTATGGGGGATGAGTAACCAGTTGGTTGGTTATTATCATGACTATGATACTCCCCTTCACTCCATTCATCTAATGCATAGTAGTTTCCTGAAGCCATCTGGAAAAAAACTTTAGGAAAAAAATCAAAGAACTTTTAAACAATAATAGTCAACACTATTTTATGATAAAATTAAATTTGAAAAGTATAAAACAATAAAGTTAGTAACAATCTATATATATACCCCCATGTTAAAAATATAGATGTCCTAGTCATTTTTTATGTTCTGTGATTGATATTATCTCTTATAAGTAATTTTTTCATATAAAAAAACTTTGTTAAAGATGACAAAGTTTTGGAGACAGGCCGCTGCATCGTTTACAGGGGATGTTATACTCACATCATATGATGTTTATATGCTTCTGTACTATGATTTATTTTTGTAAGCCTTAAACTTTATTACAAGTTTGCCTTATGACTTATTGTGAAGTAGATCACTTAACACCATTTCCATGGTTCAATATTTGAATTTTCAGGTTCACTGCTTCTTTAGCACTAATAAATTATTTCACAGTTTGCCTTCCAGTAGACAGTCAAGAAGATATATTTGCCTCTAAGATATAATCTAATTTCAAATAGACAAAATCTATTCTTTAAATCAACTATGTATTTCTCTGTATAATCTAATGTATTCTTCAAATAGACAGTCAAGCAACATGTATTTCTCTTCAACAATATTTTGTTCTATTACTGTCAAGCATATACATATGTGTTGCCTGTTCAGCATCCTTTTCTTTATCACTTTGTGGTAAAAAAATTGAATAACAAGTGTCTCTGTATTATTGTAGAATATATTTATGTCAATTTCTGAATCACAAAACATATGAATTTGGGGTCTGGAGTTGATCTTATTGATTTTGCAGACTTGATAGAAAATATACCTGTAGAGTTAATAGTTGAATTGTAAGAAGAATGGAGTCCTACGGTTAACACTACTATGATTATAATTCAAAATTGGATAGTAAACTTAACTTTCGGGTCTTAAACTGATAAAATTCCAATAAAGTATGATAAAAAAATTCTCAAGGCACACAAAAACAAACGAGGTACATACCTTTGCCAATTAAAGGAGACATTTTCCACCTGGACCTCCGGTTGATCCAAACTCGTAAATTTAAGGGGTCTAACTAAACAGGGAACTAGGTCAGAGAAATCGAGACAAACCCTCTTTGATGGTGGTTCGTCTGAAGTGGCCACACCCTTTTCGGAGGTTGGGGGGGGTCTCACGGACGAGTTCAACAATGAGATCCACCATCTCGGTAAAATGAGGCATCTAGATCTGCAACGACCCTTTCTTAGAAGACCACGCTTCAGACTGAACGAATGAGAGGGACTGTTGGACGAGTAGGAATGGCAATCTAATCCGACCCGTTGGATACCTGCAGCGAACTGAACTTGGTCAAAATGGGGAGAGCCATGTTGCCTGGGTAAGGGGTATGGGGCGCCAGGGCGGGGAATGTCCTGTTTATGTAAATGGGCAATGGAGCATGTACGATTTTATACTTACGCGCTCATTATCCGCCCCGTATTTGCCCCATTTAGTTCGGATACGGTTTCCCGAGCCATTACCCGAGCCGTACTTTTATATTATACTACGTATATTTTAATAGATTATATATTTAATATATAATGTTTATACCTCGTGTATATCATGTAATTTATGTATTTCACTTTTTAGTTATACTTCAGATATACCATATTTAATAAATATATTACCTATTACGGAGTATGCATTACTCCCTTCGTCACCCTATTATTGGAATAGAAGGGAGTGTCACGCCAACCAAGACAAAAGCAACTTTATGATAAAGTAACCAATCAAAAAACAAAAAAGCAATTGTACTAAAGTAGATCCCTATTACTCCCTCATTAAATTTACTTTTTACTTTCCCAATAAGGTACTACCTCCATCCCAAATTGATTTGCAAATTTGACTTTTCTTGGTCAAATAGTTTCTTTTTAATTGCTTAATTAGGACGTCAATTTTTGATTATATTGTAATTTGAAGTTTGCAACTATGATGAGATTTTAATGTAGTTTCTGAATATATAAATTTTATTTATTAAAAATTAAGTTAATTATCGATACAGGGGATTGACTTTTATTATTGGTTGACCAAAAAATGTTGACTTTGCAAAACCATTTGGGAGGAGGGAGTATGGAACAATAATAGTGGGACATCCAAAAATGAAAAAATGGGACAATTATACAGGGGCGGAGGGAGTATGTAATACTGTATTTCATGAAGTATGTAATACTCCTTTTAAGCTATATGAGAGAGTGTTCTTGATTGTTGTAATAATATTTGATTTGATTTGTGGTGCTCCTTGAATTTGATTAAGTGATTCTCCGTTAGTGATACTGAAAGAAAAAAAATTAATACGTGGTTACCCATAGAGAATTTCGGAGAATCAGTTTGGTTTTATGCCTGGACGCTCAACAACTGAGGTCATTCACCTTCTTAGACAAGTTGTGGAGAAGTATAAAGACACTAAAAAGGATCTGCATTTGGTTTTCATCGACTTAGAAAAGACATATGATAGGGTACATCGAGAAGTCCTTTTGTGGGCCTTAACTAGAAAAGGCATATCACGTAAATATATTAGTATCATCATGTATATGTATGAGGCTTGTACTACGAGTGTCTGTTCTAGGGTAGGGAGGAACGCAGAGTTCCCTATTACTATCGGAGTGCATTAAGGATCAGCTCTAAGTCCTTTCTTATTTGCTATAGTCATGGATGAACTTACGAAGTCAATTCAAGAAGATATACCGTGGTGCATGATGTTTGTCGACGATATTGTATGAATTGATGAGACACAATCGGGTGTTAAAGCAAAGTTGGAAGTATGGCGAGAAACATTGGAGACCAAGGGTTTCAGACTGAGCCGAAGCAAGACTGAGTATATGGAGTTCAAGTTTGGTGGAGGTAGAAGTAGTAGCAACAGTGGGATTACTCTTGATGGTAAGGAAATACCGATGTGTTATATATTTCGTTACTTGGGCTCCATAATTCAGAAGGATTTCTATGCTATCGAGGTATGCCAACTAGACTGAAAGGTAAATTTTATCAAACATCAATTAGACAAGTATGGCGTAGAGTGTTGGGCGGTGAAACAATGTCGCATTCAAAAGATGAGTGTGGCAGAGATGCATATGTTGCGTTGGATGTGTGGACATACTAGAAAAGACCGTTTGGGGAATGAGATAATCAGACAAAAGGTGGGAGTAACACCTAGAGAAGATAAGATGCAGGAGTCTTGTTTGCGGTGGTTTGGGCATGTGCGTAGAAGACCGAGTGTTGCACCTATTAGATGACTTGAGGGGTGGGGATAGAAGAGACAGGGAGGGGAAGACCCAAATAGGCGTGGATTAGATGAATCAAAACTAATATGCGAATTCTTGGGTGGATGAGAGTATGGCTTTAGAGAGGGCAAAGTAGAGGGCGCGCATTCGTGTGGACGAGTGATCTTTTTTCTATTTTTCCTCTCTCTTTTTTCTTTTATCGCTTATCTTTTTTGTCTTTTCATGTTCTTATGTTATTTTTATCTTCTAGCTTTTTTATGTTCTTTTATCTTTTAATCTTTTATCTTTCTTATATTCTTATGTTATTGTTATCTTATATTTATTTATCTTTAACTTATTCGTTTTATCCTTTTTTTCTTCTTGTCTGTCTTATCTTTTTGGCATTGATATCATGGATTGATTCATGTTAGCCGACCCCAAAATCTTTTGGGATTAAGGCTTGAATGTTGTTGTTGTTGTTGGTTACCCGTGGGGATTCTGGGAAAATCGTTCCCCATCTCAATTGAGTATAGTTTGGGTATAAAAAAAATCTCCAATGAAGAACGGGTCGGGTTCGGGGATAATAATAACTTCACCAATGAGGTGGGTACGGGTATGGGCATACCTGGGCCATATCTGCCACGTTGCCATCCCTGTGGACAAAGCACTCGCCACCCACCCACCCCTGTCCTCACTTTCTCTTGACTATCTTGGCGAGGGAAAATGGGTTGGGCAGTACCACGATCAATGTTGGATCTAACTGATACAACACCTACAAGAAAAAATAAACAATTGAATCAAGACGCCCAAGG